CTCTGCTCCAATAGTTACTTTCATTCTTTTTTGAGAAAACATCTCAAAGACCTTAGTTTCTTTTTTCTAGGAAGAGAAAGAACGACCGAAGCTGAAATGAGTCCATGAGAAGCCGCCCAACAGCCGAGCTCCTCCCCGAGGGGCAGGAGGGAGCGAAGGGACTCTCTCTGCTTGGAGGGACGGGAGCTGAGACGGCCACGCCCCGGGGGAGCGGACTGAGCGTGCCTCTCAGGGCGCACAGTCACAAGGAACTTTCAAAGGACACGTCGCTGGCTCTCAAGTTCTCTTCCCAGAGGATGCCGCGTCTTTGCCAGTAGAATTGTAGCTGCAGGCCCCGGCTCACAAACTGCTCTATAAGTGATGCTGGCGCTAACCGCTGGGCAGCACGGCCTGTTAACCCCTGCACCCACGTGCCCTCTGTGCCTGGCACGTCCCATGGCGTCATGATCTCCACGCTTTGGGGACAATCCCTCCATGAGCTGTTTAACCTCAGGGGCACCCTGACCCTGGGTTTCCCTGGGGTTCCAGGACCTTGGCCTTCTCTTACCCACTGGAGACAAAGCACCCAGAAGCACACGCCTGAGGACAGACACGAGACACAGCCTCCAACAGGAGCATGCCCAGCCCCCCGCGCTGCCATGAGTGCGCGAAGGCTTCTCTGCAGCAGGCGGCTTTCCCGAAGGTCAAGGTGCCCAACCCAACATAACTACGGGCAGGAAGCGGGTCTCTAAGCTCCTTCAGGCCCAGGCCTGACCTTGCCGCCATTCCCAGCCTCTCTGAACCGCCTTCTCCCCTGCAGGCCTCACTCCTGCCCCCACGGAGCCTCAAAGGGAACTCTAGACACGGAGGGCCAGGCCCTCAGCCTGCCCCGCGGGCAGGTGTCTGCGTCCACCTGCCCTTCCCAAGCCGCCTGGTGCCGCCTGGTCACTGGGACAGCCCTCGTGTCTGTGCTCGGCCAACAGGAGCTTCCGGGAGCCTGGGCCAGGCCGCATGAGGGACGCCTCCGGGCTCAGTCAACTTTCTGTGGTTCACCTCCTGTCTGCAAGTCGGGAAAGTGAGAGGATTTACCTCCAGGCCCCCAATCTCTCTCTCTCTCTCTCTCTTTCTCTCTCTCTCTCACTCCCTCCCTTCCTCGCTCACTGAAATCAAAAGAAAAAAAAATTTTTTTTAAGTAAAAGCCATCCTTAGCTCCAGTGCTGTGAACAGACCGCCCTGCTCCCTCTCCAAGCACCTCTGCTGGTGGCTCCACAGCCCCCGGTCCGCAGTCCTTTACGCCCCTCCCTGTCCCTGACCCTCCTGTAGGCACACAGCCCCTCTGTCTCCTCCTCCCACCCCCACAGACACCCCGTCAGCTTAGGGTTTCATCATGTCTTGCCTCACCCCACCGGAGCCACCAGGACCTGTCCCTCAAAGGTGTGGCCCACCCGGTCACTCTGCCTGACCTGTGAGGCTCCCTCCCTCCCCTCCCCCCAGCTGACCTCGGATCACCTGAGGGCTTTTCTAAGAGCCCCAGGCCCCAGGCCTGCACTGACTCAGCAGAGCCAGGCGGCCAGCCTACCGCAGTGGCCACTCCCAGGCGGCTCCGGCTGCTCCAGGAGCCACATCTGGCCTGGTCTGTCCTGGGGTTCAGAACGCCTGCCCCTGCCGGCCAGACGGCCTCCTATTCTCCACTCCTCCCCACCCCCAGTCAGTCACCCCGTCCTGTTTCACAGGAGGTGCAGGCGCATGCCCACGCGTGTGCGTGTCCCTCTGCGTGGGGAAAGCTCCTGCTGTCGGCCTCCCTAACACCCAGCTGCAGCTACTAGCACTTAGCAGCCTCCCCAAGGGCTTCCAAGACCCACCGGCACCCGCCCCCCAGTTCCCGCGAGTCAGGATCCACCAGCACCCGCCCCCCAGTTTCTCCGAGTCAGGCCATGATGGCGTTTCCAGGAAAAGCCCAAGGCTCCCCACAGCCCCAACAGCCGACACCTCTGCTCCCTCGGACCCTGGCCTCTCCCTGCCAACAGCACACACGCCCACATCCACCTCCATCGTCCACACACACCCCGGACCCTGCAGGACCTGCGCCTCCCGGGAGGCAGGCAGGACCGCGGGAGCCCGAGGGGATGACCTGGGGGAGGGCACGAGGTCCGGGGCCTGATGCTGTGCTGTGCGGGGGATGGGAACAGACACAGCAGCCTGTCCATCTAACAGCACGAGCCTCAGCTGCTTCTACCCCACCTGCTCCCACTCACAGCCTCCCTCCCGGCAGCCCGCTCCCTCCTCCCCCTCCCTTTCCTCCCTGGCCACCCCTGGCCCTGAGGAAAGCTGTCCACCCTACTCCGCTGATGTCCAGAGTGGCCCCTCCCCTCTCCGCTGCGCCTCCCCGGTCCCTGGCCCAGCCTCCCAGTCTCTCGCCTGGATCAGTGGGCAGCTTCCTGCTGGCTCCCTGCTCCCACCTGTGGCACCTGCCCCTCCCCACTCGATCCTCACACAGCAACCCCAGGAAGCCTGGGTCGGACCAGCTGTCCATCTGGCCGTGGCTCCATCCCTGCTCCGGCCCCATCTCACCTGGCTTTCCTGCAAGTCCGACCATGACCCACAGCCCTGCAGCTCGGCCTCCCGGGCCCTCAGCCCCCACCGAATCCTCTTAGGGGTCACCTCAGCCTGCCCGGCACTCGCCCCCGCCAGCGCCCTGGCTCCCGGGACTCCTGGTGGCTCCCTCCCTCGCCTCCTCAGGCCGCTGCTTAGGTCTCAGCTCCCAAGGAGGCCGACTTGGAGCCTTTTAAACTTCCTTCTGCCTCCCTGGGCTCACTTCCTGCCCCACTTCCATGTTCCCCGCACACCCCACTCCAGCGCACGTTACATTAGCACGATCACTGCGTGTGCTTTTCCTGTTTCTCCGTCTGCTAGCCTGCACCCTCCACAAGGCCAGGCATCTCTGCTTTCGTCACTGAGGCAACCCTAGCGTCTTTTCTCAAAATATTTTTTACTGATTTCTAGAGCGAGAGGAAGGGAGAGGGAGAGAGAGAGACAGAAACATCAATATGAGAGCAAAACATCAATGGGCTGCCTTCTGCACACACCCCACTGGGCATGTGCCCTGGCCAGGAAACAAACAGCAACCTTTGCGTACCCGGGGCAACGCCCACCCACTGGCCCACACAGGCAGGCACAGCCCCAGCACTAGCAGTGCCTGGCCCCCGGTGGGCACTGAGATAGCTGCTGAATGAAATCCGGGTTCTCTCTGAGGCCTCTGAATACCCCTAATGACTGAGCAGCCCCCCTTAGCCACCGTCCTCCTACCTGCAAAGTAACACCAACCTCTCTCGGGAGAGGAAAGGCAAGCCCGGCGGGCGACGGAGGGTTCTAAGGAGCAGAATCCTCCTTCACTGGGGAGTTCGGCCTGGGCCCAAGGTGAAGGCTGGCTGCCTCCCACAGGCACGTGGGGTGGCCGTGGGGGCAGATGAGTGACTCAGTTTCTACCCAGACCTTTCAAACAGGCGGAGTCTGTGAGAGCCTCTGAGACCTTCTCCCTGGCCCCGCCCCAGGGCTATTTTTAGCTCAGGAGGCAGCAGACAGGGAAGGTAGCCCAGCCTCACCCCGTGTGCCCTGAGGGCCTGGCCATCTTTAATTCATGTGGGAGGGAGCCCTCCCTGCACGTGGGGAGGGAGCACCATGGTGAAACTCTAGACGGGAGGGCGGGGCCAGGGCTGCTTGGGTGGAACAGAAGGCTCCATCAGGAGCGCTCAGAGGGCCCCATTCAAGAGCACAGACCCCGGACGCCTGTGTGTCCTCGTCCACGTCTGTCCTGCTCAAGCCACCTGGCGGGGCCTCACCTGTCCTCGGGGTGAAGAATGTCCCCTGGAGGGCCCTCCAGCTCCCGGCCCACAGGCAGGAGCAGAGATAAAACCACATTTCTCATCGCCAAAGGCTTACAGTCTTCCCTTCGGCACCATTCCCCTGGAGGTAAGCCTGCAGCGTTCAGCCGTGACTCACTGCCAGGCACGGAGCGTTATTATCTACGAGGTTAGTCTATCTTTGGACACAGAATGAAATAAGCTAAGAAACGGACAGGCTCTGTTGTACCTCAAACTCACCAACGTCTGCATCCCCGTGGGCAGGGACGACAGGAAAAGAAAACCGGGACTGCGGGCTGCACAGCCGATGGCAGGCATGGCCTCGGCGCAGGAATCAGTGAGCGGAGAACTAAAGGGCTCCCCTTTTTTTTATGTTTTTATTGATTTTAGAGAGAGGAGGGGAGAGAGAGATAAACATCCATGATGAGAGAGGATCACGGATCGGCTGCCTCCCCCACACCCCACACTGGGGATCGAGCCCACAACCCGGGCCTGTGCCCTGACCGGGAACCGAACCGTGACCTCCTGGTTCATAGGTCGGTGCTCAACCACTGAGCCACGCCAGCCGGGTGGGACTCCTCTAAAGACAAAGCAAAACATGAATAAAATCCCAGCAGATTCTGAATTTCCAACCACTGCCCTGCAGGCTGGGGAAGCTGCCTCCTCCTTCACTCAGCCCATTACCGAAGCAGGTCTATTTATCCAAGACTCCATTAGCTGATGAAAAAAATCGCCATCCTGGAATTCTCCCTCAGCTAGAGGAGCCATATGGCGCCCTTCAGTTCTGCAGGAAGCACGTACATGAAACGGTTCCGTGTCAGCACGGCCTCGGCACCGAGCACGGCCAGGAGGGCCAGCCCACGCGTGAGGCACCGCGCATCCCAGCTCATCAGACGCCCGTCCTGAGGCGGCTGTTTTCTGAGTGGACTGCGAGGCGGCTGCCGGGCACGTGAGCGTCCCCACGGGAAGAGGGTCCTCCGGCCTCCTCCCCTGCGAGTCTCCTCCTGAGCCCACGGGGCGGGAGGGGCGGCCGGGAGGGGCGAGTGAGCAGGAAGCGCGCGGGAAGACCACTCGAGGCTGGAGAGGCCCGACAGGGGACACTCCTGAGCCCACGGGGCGGGAGGGGCGGCCGGGAGGGCCGAGTGAGCAGAAAGCGCGTGGGAAGACCACTCGAGGCTGGAGAGGCCCGACGGGACAGCTGTCCAGCACGGGCTGGCTCAGCCTTCAGCGGAGGGAAGGGCCAGCGACATCCCTGCGGTCCCATGTGGTGGCCACCTGCTACCAAGCACTTAAGGGTACTGAGTGTGGCTGAGAAACCGAGCCGTTCCATTTTATTTAACTTTAATTAAATGTAAATGGCCACACGTGGCTCACAGAGCCAGCACGCAGCAGCCCTGGTCCAACACAGAAAAGCAGTCCCCGGCTAGAGACGAGCTCAGAGGGCCAAGTGGTCCCACCCTGTGCCCCGGAGTCGGGGGGCGGCACCTCATTAATGGCATCTCCAGGGCACCCGTCATTAAGAAGCACTTTCCAATCACCTCTCTCGCATCCCATCAGAACAGTACCGGGCAGGACTGAGCGGTTTGTCTTGCTGTAAGAACAAGAACTTAAGAGAGGAAATAACTCTTGTGAATTTTTAACATTCTCCCTGAGTTGAGATATAAACTTGTTACACGAATAAACAGCCAGGAGCTGCCGATGGCCGGGCACGTTCCCTGTGCGTCACCTGGTGTGACAGTCTCTCACCTGGTAACCTGCCTGGCAGCCGGCGCTCTGGCCTGCGCGCTGCAGCCTTAAGTGGCAGCACATCCTGAACACACGTCACCCAGCAACCCAGTCCCTGTGCGTCACACACGGAGGCTGCGACACACACCAACCATCGAACACCCACCGGTGTTCTTGCCCAGGCGCCTGGAGGTTATGGTTGGTGCCCTGACTCTGTTTTAACGACATAAAAACGGTTCTGGTTTTAATAAAGGAAGTTTCTCAAATCCCAAGTCATAGGAGACAATTTTAGCTTTAGGATTAAAAATAAACAAGCCCCATGGTTTACTAGACTCCACAAGCACTGCTGTAAACGCCCAACCGATCTTAGAGCACACGACACACGCCCTTTCTCACAAGCAACTCCCAGAGCAGGTGCTTGGCGGAGTGTGGTCGGAGCGACCGGAGACCGAGACCCAGACCCAGACCCAGACCCAGACCGAGACGGGGCGGGCAGGACCAGTCACCTGGCAGGACCAGTCACCTGGGTCAAGGCCACAGGTGTGTGCACTTGGCTCCACCCTCCCAACTACTCACCAACAATTTGCATAAGTTACATGAATAAACAAAGAGGCAGCCAGCCTGGGTCCCCATGGGTGTAACACGAGCGGAATTTAAATGTCAGGTCCTGCACTCAAGGCCCAAGAGTGAGACCCACCATGACCAGCCGGGGTCAATGACTCAAACCAGTTTACGCGAAAAGAGGCGCAGGGGTGGAGAGCAGGCTCGCAGGGCCGGCAGGGCTGTGGCTGCCTTCACAGCGCCCTGCGAGGCATGGTCTCTCGGGCACCAGCACCCCGAGGTGTCTGCAGGCGCCACCCGAGAGTCAGGACTGGCACTGGAGGGGGAGGAGGGAGGCTGCGGCCTCCGGGTCTGAGGGCTGACACGGAGGAGGGACCGACAGGTTCTGTGCGGCTCTCGGGAGCAGAAAGAGGATCAAGAGGCAGATTTTAGTTCAATGCAGGTCAGACCATGTCCAAGGCCAGGGGTGTCCTAATGGGCTTGGCCCCTGGAAAGGCGGCGACCCCTCACTGCTGAAGGCCGGCCTGTTACCCAGGTTTCCCGGGAGGGAGTTAGACGGGGACCCCCTCCTCCCCTCCTCCCCTCTCTCCCTCTCAGAGGACACACACAGGGAGCCCTCCCAGCCCTCACCAGGCACGGCCGGGGATGCGCACGGGGAGGGCCGTCCCCGGAGGCCACACTGCCCTCATTTACGCTGTGAAGGAACAAAGGGCCCGTTGAGCTTCACCGAGTGTCAGGCAGCCACTATCACTAGTAAACCCTGGGCGGCCGGGCAGTTCCTGGTTCTCACTGAGATGCCAGGACGGGCCCTGAGACCCGACGTTCAGACTCTACGTTCCACGGCGTCCCACACCCTGGTCCGAAGACCGCTCTTCACTTCAGTCTACGGGCTCCGAAATCACAAGGACTGGGCTGAAACAGATTTCTCAAAACTTCCTCAAAGTCTACCGAGGCCGCAAGCCAGAGGCCTGCAGGAAGCAGAGGGCTTCCGCTGCCCGGCCAGCCCCTGGGAGCACTGACCCCAACTCCTCCACGGAGCGGGGCGGGGCGGGGGTGAGGGCAAGGGCTTCCGCTGCCCGGCCAGCCCCTGGGAGCACTGACCCCAACTCCTCCACGGAGCAGGGCGGGGCGGGGGTGAGGGCAGACTCACCTGCGTTTGCAGGCAGGCCTCCCCGGGACCACCAAGCCCCCTGACCCCCGGCGCTCACAGAGGCCCATGATGTTTGCGTCCCCTTCCGACGGGGCCTGGACACAGGTCCCAGCAGTGCCTGGCCCAACATTCAAATTCCGGAACGATGCCTGGACACCCCCAGTCCCAGGGGAGAGCAGCCTGTCCGCCCAGGCCGCCC